AAAATAAGTATGCAAATCAAAAAAGGATAAAAAATATATCTACCAGTAGTTAAATCTTAATGTATCAGGACTGGCAAACAATCACCAGGCCACTTAGTAGGTATATATCGCAAAAAAAAAAAATTAAAGAAAACGCTGGTAAATCTCAGCACTTCATGCAGCTGTACTAAGTGCTAGGGGATTGTAGCTAGTATTGTAATGAATTTATACAAACTTGATAATCAAAAGAATTTTGATAACAATGTATAGATACAAAAAGAGCACAGCTCCACGTACAGGCTAATGAGAATCACAGCGAATATATTAGCAACATTGTAACTGAAGCTTAAACAGCCTAAGCAGTCCAGTGTTTCATAATAAGCAGCTGCAGCTGATCCGACTGTGTTGAGAGGATCTAATAGTACACTATGAAAAAATGGATGTAACGCTGGATATAAATTGCTGCTATAGCAAATATTACCTCTGTGATAGCATTAGATATAAATGGATGGATTTAACACTAGATATAGATTACTGCTATAGCAAAAAATACCTCTGTGCCTTCGAGGGCACCTAACTGTCATCCAGCTAACCCAGAATTAATCGAACATGAGGTTAACCGTTTGATTAGCGGCTAAGCTCAATCTAAAAAATAGCTTGTTATAGATACACCTAATAAATAAAAAACTATGGATCTGAAAATAGGTAATTTAGTATGATATTTTGCCTTCAGGGGCACCTACCACTAGTCCTGCTAGACACAGAAGAAAAGAGATAAGAAAATGAAGGAGAGAGAAAACAACCGTTTCAATGACGGTAAAGCTATAGTAGGAATAATAATGAAAGTATCTATTAAAGGTTTAATTAATCCTGTGCTGTGATCCCCCTAGTCTGAAACTAGACCTGTGCTGTAAACTGTGCCTTCAAGGGCACCTGTCACTAATCCCACTGGTATAGATACAAAGCAAAAATACGAAAAAATAATAATGTCTACATCACTGATAGGATTCTCTAATAGAGTGTGCTAAAAAATTGATGCGCACACTCAAAAAGCTTATCAATATTAAGATAAGTTAGAAGTGATGAGAAGATAGCATGGTTGCAAGTCGAAATACTTCACCCCCGATCATAGGGGAAGTACTATTGAAACGCCCTGACGCGCGCGTTTCGCCCGACCTGGCTCGTCAGAGGGGAACCGGTCGGTACACTGCGTCTGGTTTAAATCTGTGAAGAAATATCTCTATTGGTTGACAGAGATGATTCCTGATTGGTTAATGCTCGTTAATTGAGTTATGACGAAATCAAACTTGTAACAAGAGGAGTCAATCAGATGAGTTTGTTAACCCTTTCTCTACTGGATTTCTCAATTGAATTTAGACAACAATGATAATCAAAGAGGAAAGAACATTTTTAAATGTTGACAATAGAGTAAGGTTGCCCTAAATATTGCTGGTTATAATTGGAAAATAAAATATTAGGGGAAAAGGAAACAATAAAAAAATTAAATTAAACTAAATGAATAGTGCAGCAAATGAATAATAAATAATAAATTCCTTATCCCAAATTGATTAACCCTTTCTCTACTGGATTTCTGAATTTGAATTTAACCAACAATAAGGATTAAAGAGGAAAGAACATTTTTCAAATAAATAAATGTTGTGAATAGAATAAGGTTGCCATAAATATCGCTAATTATAAATTTATAATTTATATAAATTAAAGCCTTATCCCAAATAAAATATAGATATAATGAATAACTTCAAACTATGTTTAATAAATATAAATAAACAAAAAATAAATAAATAAAAGAGACAAATAATTAGACAATATATTACTCTATAATTATGAAAAATTAAACTGGCTATCATAATGAGTAAGCAGATAATAACTTAATACCTGAGAATAGATGAACATGAAAATTAGCCTGGAAAAAGGTATTAAATTCTTATAATGTATTTATATGTATAAAGGCAGCCATCTTAAAAACATTAATGTTATAGAGATACAGTTAGTAAATGGTGAATAAATCCTAAACTTGTCCAGAAAAGGGTAGGTTCAGAGTTAGCCAAGTTGTTTATTGGTGTATAAAGGGGGTAAAATTAAACTCTTCGTTTAAACCGTCAGGTGCTAATGTTTTTAAAAAATAAATCCATCTAGACTCTTTCATTAGGAGAATTTTATTAAAATTCCCTTTCCTGGTGTTTAAGGTTAATTTCTCTAATGCTTGGAATGTAAGGTGTGTTGGGTCAGCCTGATGGTGGTTCCGAACATGGTTTGATACTGGAGTGGAGATGTTTAGGTTGGTGATGGAACAAATGTGCTGTAGTATCCTTCGTTTTAATTGCTGGTAGGTTTTGCCTACATATTGGATACCACAGCTACATGTAATTAGATAAATGACCCGGGTAGAACTACAGTTAATAAATTCCTTAATTTTGTATTCTTTTTTTGTTATGGAACTTGTTACCGTTTTAGTGGGTTTAATAAATTGGCATGCCTTACAATGTCCACAGCGATAAATACCCGTAGTCTGAGTTAACCATGTGGATTGTAATGGTTTAGTGGGCTCAGTGTGACTGTGAACCAAGATGTCTCTCAAGTTTTTAGCCCTGCGTGCCGTAATTTGAGGAAAATTGCCAATGCTTTCAACCAGATCTGTGTCGTGTTGAAGTATTGGCCAATTGTGTGTCATTATCTTTTGTACTTTGTCCCAATATAAATCGTACGTGCCTATACAGCAAGTTATTTTTGTTTCTAATTGAGGTTTACAAAATCTTAGACTTTCACTTCTGTCTGTTAGTAATGCTCGTTGATAGGCTCGTTTCAAAATTCTATTTGGGTAGCCTTTCTGTTTGAACATCGTTCTTATTTTATTGGCTTCCTTTTGAAAGGATATTTCAGTGGAACAGTTGCGCCTTGCGCGCAAGTACTGGCCAAAAGGTATTCCTGACTTTAACTTAGCAGGATGATAGCTAGTCCAATGAAGCAGGCTGTTGGTTGCTGTGTCTTTTCTGAAGAGTTCAGTTTCTACCTTCCCATCTTCTAAAATTTTTATGTTAAGGTCCAAAAATACCAAATATTCGGAATCTATCACGTGTGTGAGTTGTAGACCAATCGTATTGGCATTTAGATCTCTAACCAAATTTAAAAATTTGGCAATGGATCCTAACCAGAAGACCAGTATGTCATCAATGTATCTATGCCAACTATAGATACATGTGTCATACTGGTCTCTGGTGATGGCTGGCAGAATAGTCTCTTCCCACCAGCCCAAATATAGGTTGGCGTAGCTAGGAGCACACGCCGTACCCATAGCTGTCCCTTTGAGTTGCAAATAATATTGTCCATTAAAGACAAAAAAGTTATGAGTGAGCACATATTCCAATAGTTTTAGAAGATGGGAAGGTAGAAACTGAACTCTTCAGAAAAGACACAGCAACCAACAGCCTGCTTCATTGGACTAGCTATCATCCTGCTAAGTTAAAGTCAGGAATACCTTTTGGCCAGTACTTGCGCGCAAGGCGCAACTGTTCCACTGAAATATCCTTTCAAAAGGAAGCCAATAAAATAAGAACGATGTTCAAACAGAAAGGCTACCCAAATAGAATTTTGAAACGAGCCTATCAACGAGCATTACTAACAGACAGAAGTGAAAGTCTAAGATTTTGTAAACCTCAATTAGAAACAAAAATAACTCGCTGTATAGGCACGTACGATTTATATTGGGACAAAGTACAAAAGATAATGACACACAATTGGCCAATACTTCAACACGACACAGATCTGGTTGAAAGCATTGGCAATTTTCCTCAAATTACGGCACGCAGGGCTAAAAACTTGAGAGACATCTTGGTTCACAGTCACACTGAGCCCACTAAACCATTACAATCCACATGGTTAACTCAGACTACGGGTATTTATCGCTGTGGACATTGTAAGGCATGCCAATTTATTAAACCCACTAAAACGGTAACAAGTTCCATAACAAAAAAAGAATACAAAATTAAGGAATTTATTAACTGTAGTTCTACCCGGGTCATTTATCTAATTACATGTAGCTGTGGTATCCAATATGTAGGCAAAACCTACCAGCAATTAAAACGAAGGATACTACAGCACATTTGTTCCATCACCAACCTAAACATCTCCACTCCAGTATCAAACCATGTTCGGAACCACCATCAGGCTGACCCAACACACCTTACATTCCAAGCATTAGAGAAATTAACCTTAAACACCAGGAAAGGGAATTTTAATAAAATTCTCCTAATGAAAGAGTCTAGATGGATTTATTTTTTAAAAACATTAGCACCTGACGGTTTAAACGAAGAGTTTAATTTTACCCCCTTTATACACCAATAAACAACTTGGCTAACTCTGAACCTACCCTTTTCTGGACAAGTTTAGGATTTATTCACCATTTACTAACTGTATCTCTATAACATTAATGTTTTTAAGATGGCTGCCTTTATACATATAAATACATTATAAGAATTTAATACCTTTTTCCAGGCTAATTTTCATGTTCATCTATTCTCAGGTATTAAGTTATTATCTGCTTACTCATTATGATAGCCAGTTTAATTTTTCATAATTATAGAGTAATATATTGTCTAATTATTTGTCTCTTTTATTTATTTATTTTTTGTTTATTTATATTTATTAAACATAGTTTGAAGTTATTCATTATATCTATATTTTATTTGGGATAAGGCTTTAATTTATATAAATTATAAATTTATAATTAGCGATATTTATGGCAACCTTATTCTATTCACAACATTTATTTATTTGAAAAATGTTCTTTCCTCTTTAATCCTTATTGTTGGTTAAATTCAAATTCAGAAATCCAGTAGAGAAAGGGTTAATCAATTTGGGATAAGGAATTTATTATTTATTATTCATTTGCTGCACTATTCAT